CCCTGTATATTGAAGAATAAGTTTTATCGAAAAAAATATTCCTTCTTTGAGCTTTTCAACATAAAATGATAGGTAGTGAAAATGTTGATAGGCTTGTACTGATTCATTTATTGACTGTACCAAGTCTACGATGAGAAATTACATTGGACTGGATTTTCAAATTCTCGGTTCGGTTTCACCTGAAAACAAAAAATATTTTGAGAAATTTTTTTCGCTGATGAAATGATTCCCAAAAATACTAGTAAATTATATTTTCAATTTTTGAGCACATCAAAATTCGAAAAATGTAACGAAAAAGTAATGACTTTTAAAATTCTTTACTATTAATTTTTGTTGCCTCGACAAATTTTGTGAAAGCTACAAATCAAGCCCGATTTCACCCATTTAGTGTTTACTCGTAACTTGTTGTGTAACCTTTGCAGTTTCAAGATTCTTATTCGCTCACTTAAATTTCACTCGCTCAGTATCACCAAAGATCTGTTTTTCAGTATTTTTATCTCTCACTATTCAACTCTGAATTCACTACAATGAAAAATCAACTTTATAATGAAACCAAGAATATCAATGATTCCATTATAAAGCTTCGTAACTGTATTATTCGAGAATATTCACTCGATCCTCCATTTCTTTTAACGACTTCAAGGAATATAATCATACCGCGTATCGCTTTCATTTTTCAAATTAACCAAGTTATTGACAGTCTGAACGCGTGTCTGTTTGGATGAGAAAAATCCAGCTCGGATTACCGCTTCAGAAATATATAAGAAAATATATCAAAACCGACATCTAAATCCCTTCTTTCTAGGGCAATATCCGTTCCCGGAGAATTTTCACTCCACAACCGAATCAATAACGGCTTTGGAATATTATAGAGATCAGAACGGACTTTGAGCTGGCCATTTATATATGAATGTATAATATTTTTGTTGTCCATCGGAAATATTACACATCTATTCAATCTTTCAGTTCAACACTCATAAATTACTATCACTATTCAATGAACGAAAGTCTTTCTTTGAGAAGATAAATGTTCTAGTTATCTGAACTTGTATCAAATAAAAAAATATGTATACAGATTCTGTTTCGGAAGCTGAAATCCGTCTTCAGAATTGGAAAAAATCTAATGATGCAGTATTTTTCTCCGCTGGTTCGCTTATTTTCGAAATAGGCAGATGTCAAAAGTGTTTTGAAATTTTAAATATGCCATTGTGGATTTACTTCTGCATTTCAGCATGTTGAGTTAGGTCTGGTCCAAAGTGAGTGAGCCTATCCGACCCTCCACCGCAACCCGCAAGGGTTTATTGTGGCTCACACCTATTCTCACTCGGCCAAACAAACACAGCTTCTAAACGAAGCCGATCAGTTTGAATGGTGAGTGGTCTTTCAGGACCACTCTGCCGAACTCTAAAGATTTGATTTGGTCCCCAGCGGGGCAGGGACATAGTATATGCTCTGTTAATGAGGTAGTCGGATAGTCAAGTTGCAAGATTCCCACCTTGATACCCACGACAACCTTCTGCACGTCAGTTACACCTGACAATGCCTTAGATTCAGCCGTGTAGGCCTTTGTTGCCTGTGGTTTTGGTGAAACCTCACTCGAGCGCAAACGTTTGCTAAAAGGCTCAATGTCATTCATCCTCTCGGCACGGATACACACACCTTAGCATGTAGTACAAGATGTACTAATTCGTGTTCATGAAATATCAGTTTTCTTTAGTATCAAAATTGGATTTTCAGCTTTTTCCCTTTTTTTTGGTATCTTCACAATTTTTATTGGAAGGATTTATTCAACTTCACTTTTGATTCTTCCATATACGTTCCTGATTTAAACATTACCATCGGAAAATATCACTTGTATTCTAACTGGAAAAAGATTTTTCGAAAAATATATATTGAAAACGTATGGATTCAAAAGTAACGTTTTCAGAGAATTTTTTTCGAAAAATATTTTTCCAGTCGGAAAACAAGTGATACCTACAAGGGTATAGAATAAAAATATATTCAATACAGCATACATAGATACAGCTCAGCTGTTCAAAAAACATCTGTTTAAAATGTGTTTTTCCATTAACCAGCTGTCGCACCTGTCGACCAGAAGTCGAAACTTGTGCGAGCTACGGATTAACGAGGCCTTACGTTATGTGTGATTTCTAACACGGGTTGGACGATAGCAAGTGAAAATCGATGGTCCTAGTCTATGTCTTGAACTACCTACCAATACGGCAGAAATATACAATTCAAAATATGAAAAATATACATACTATTGGATTGAAATTCTCTACAATGTAGGGTCTTAAATCTCATCAATGGAGTGAACTCATTGATTTATTAGATAACGAGTCAGCACACATTTGAATTCGCTGAGCTNGGTTATAGCACCTGATTCCTTGGTATATGTGAGAATCCTGACCAATGCTCAATCTTGAGTATGGCTGGTGGATGCTCTCACTATTTCTCGTACTGTATTTGTGTAGATCATATCTTTCAGTCAGGTTATTTTCTTCTTTTCTGACATTGATGATAATCAAAAGTATGTGAAGTGAAGGAACTGTTAGAATTTAGAGTTGTGTGAATACGTTTCTACAGGAGGTTCCACGAGCTACACCAGCCATACATCTTATTATTTTCTTTTGGATGACCTCATTCATATGTAGTGAATTTCCCCAAAAATCTATTCGTAGCTCAATGCGGATTGTACAATTCCAAAGTAAGATAATTTAAGTGTGTCTAACGATATTGTGCCTTCTGAGTTATCTGATAATGATGCAAATTGTATTCAATTTGTTCGTTAGATCATTAATATGAGGTTCCCATGTCATCTTCTAATCTATTTTGACACCCAAAAATTTAATTTAATTTATCTGTTCTACCGATTTATGATTCACTCGTAATAAAATATTCATATCACGATTTACAGTTTTTGTTGTGAATACCATAAAGAATGTTTTTGAATAACTAATAGTCCACTGAACGAGCATCTATTATGAAAATCATTGTCACAAATGCTTGCTTTGGTAACAGCATTAATTGATTTATTTTCTGAAATTGGAATATTAGTGTCATCAGCATACATGACAATTTTTCGAGAATTGGGAAATGAGTACACCATTTAATTGAAAATGGAACAAGTACCAAGATTAAGCTTTGAGGGACACCAGTATTCACAATTTTTTCTGTTGATCTATTTCCATCTAATACTACAATTTGTTGCCTTTTTCTGAGATAAGTTGCATCCCATTCATTCGCGACTCCTCGTACACCAATGCGATACATCTTGTCCAACAAAAGATCATCGAATGCTCTAGTCAGGTCAAAGTAAAGTGCAATGGGATTGTGTTTGTCGTTAAGAGAGTCGTATATGTCTGTACAAAAATCGCCTATTGCGGTTGATGTTGATTTGTTTTGTCTGAAACCGTTTTGAACAATTAAATAATGGGTGGTGGTGATTTAAGAATTTGTTGATACGAATATTATATGCCATTTCAATTATTTTTGCTACATAAAGGTATTTTGTAACATCATCTTTTGATCCCTCATTTTTGAAAATTGGTTTCGATTTGGAAACCTCAAGAACCGTTGGGTACCGCCCCAAAATTACTGTGTATTGGCTAAGTGAAAGCGATGTTGTAGTGATATTTGGAGGTGATATAAAAGTTATTGAATTTCGCATTCATATTCAATGAATTAAATGTGTCTCACCATGTTTCTTTCTATAGCGAAGTTTCAAAACTATGAATCCAAAAATAACAGGGTACCAGGAGAACTGAATTTTTGTATACTCGTGAAGTATTAAATCTAGCTCTGATTTTCTGGTCTTCGAATATACAAATGAAAATTTCTTTCATCTTAGAGATTCAAAACACTCATTTGGAGAAAATTAAATGTGTCAAATAGAAATACACTCGGTATGTGACCTCAAAAACAGGTTTTACAAAAAACAGATAGAAAAAAAATTTTATTCGATATTTCATCCCTACAGTCTCAATGGATTCTCAATACTTGAGTATAAATATATGTTATTCATAAATTAATCATTATTGATATTGGTAGATGATATTGGATTGCTGCCTTTGGTCTTGTTGAGCTTGTCTCTGAGTTGGGACTTCCTGAAAGAAAAAGATCGTTAATACCAACCATCAAAGCAAACAATATACAGTTGGGACGTAAATAGTCCCTCACCCCTCCTTAAGGTTAGAACGGGGTCAGATATCAGAGTCAGATAAAATGTTTGTAACGAAGAATCATTTTCAGTGTGACATCATTCGTCGACGACAGTTGGAGATATTGGGATTCACAAGCATCTATGGTCACTTCATGTTGGCAATTTTTTGAGAAAGATTCGATCAAAGAAATAGTATTACTGAAAAGAACTATATAGTTCAATATTCCCAACAATAAATCAAAATTGATCGTATAATAGGGTGAAATATATTTCATGAAAAAGTTTTCCATTCGATTATGATTCATCATTCAGTCAATTTCAATCAAGAAGCCTTCTACTTCAATCAAATTTGCATTTTCATTCGATTTGCATTTTAATTGTTCCGTATTCATTTTCCTACATTTTTCAATTCATTCTATTTTTCAATTCAGTTCGATGATATCCATGGCTAGGTATTCATGAATACTGATTTGGTAACACTAAACAATTTTCTTGAGTTTCGGTTTCCCTGACGAATTTCATTCATTTGTCTTGGTAATCTACACTTCAATTTATTCTAATGGTAAAATAGACCAATTTTGCTCTTATACATGGACTGAAAGTCTTATTTCAAAAATGTTTGTTGCATGTGAATATGTTCAAAATACAAAAAAAATGTATTTTTTTTTCGATAGCAACGATGCCATATCCAATAAAAAGTAAAAGCTATTCAGATTGTCCTAACGTTTGAAACTGAGAATATTTTGTTCTTATACATTATGTTATGCCAAAACAAGCTTCTCCCAATCACCAGAAATGCAATACTCTTCTGAACGAGCGTTTCACCAACCAAAATTGCATCTTTAGGAGATAAAATTTTCTTCATGAAGTTTTTTTATCTTCTGAGTAACAATTAAAAACAAAAAGGAATTTTTACCTGTACATATTGCTGCTGTCTTGGAGTACTTTGGAATTGTGGTAATGGTTTTGGAATTTTTACTACAATGTCGGTAGGTTGTCTAGTGACCTGTAAAAAAATATCGATCAGATGCAATTCTATGATGACAAAGGTGATGACATAAAATTTATCTGTAGTGCTAGATATCATTATTTGGAACAATACTAACATAACAACATATATATAGACGAGAGACAAATCTCAAACCTTTCTTCGAAGGACGATTTGAGACTTATCTTTCTTCTAAAGATACTTTCACGGGAAGTATTCAAGTGTTTTGACACAGTTTATTTCACCTAGAGCGGTTCATATCAAAAATACACAACGGACTGTGGCTACTTATCGTATTGTAAATCGCTACTTTCGCACAGGCACCGCTCTTAGAGCGCCTCAATAATTTTCCTGCAGTGCTTGAGTTTCACCCTTAAAAAAAATATACCGTCACCAATAGCAAAATGATATATTTTTATAATACTGTCCTATTCTTTACTCGCAGAAGTTTTCATATTTTTGAATTATCTGAAGTAAAACCTAGTTTCTTACCTAAACGTATCCACATCAGAGATCACTCGTCCTCAATAATAATATATATTTATTCACTAGAACAAATGACGTCTCCAAGGCGTTCCACAGAGTTTGGCATCAAGGACTACTGGCCAAAGTGAGCGATTTCGGATACTCAAAACCAATGGTAAGATTAATTCAGTCTTTTCTAGCTGACAGGCGATGCCGATGCAGAGTAGGAGACGAACTATCAACAATTCGACTACTGGATGCAGGGGTCCCGCAAGGAGCAGTCCTTTCGCCGCACCTCTTCTCCGTATACACAAGAAGTGGGCCAACCCGTGGAAGATCAGCATAAACCCTGACAAGAGTCAGGCGATACTGTTCACCCGCAGGTTTGTACAACCGGAAGGCAATGTCACCTCCAACGGACAAGAGATTCCGTGGACCATTTCAGTCTCATTTACGGCAGATAATTGGAATGGCTAGACACGCCACACAACGACTAGCACCTATCATAGGACGCAGAAGCAACATGGGGTTGAAAGTGAAGTTGCTAATGATCAAAACCGTCCTCATGCCTATAATACTGTATGCCTGCACTGCCTGGGGCCAGTGCGCACAGACATACAGGAAGAAGATACAGTCGTTAATGAACGCGAGCGTAAGGGCCGCCGAAGCCCGCCGTACTATACCCAAATAGATACATATACAGAGACTTAGACCAGGACACGCAATATGTGGACGTGTATATGAGAAAACACGCAGAAAGCGTGTTCGATAGAATCAGATCGCACAACAACCCAGCGCTACGCGATCTACACGAAACGTTTCTACAGGAGGTTCCACGAGCTACACCAGCCATACACCTTATTATTTTCTTTTGGATGACTTTATTCATATGTACTGAATTTCCCCAAAAATCTATTCGTAGCTCAATGCGAATTGTACAATTCCAAAGTAAGATAATTTTAGTGTGTCTAACGATATTGTGCCTTCTGAGTTATCTGATAATGATGCAAATTGTATTCAATTTATTCGTTAGATCATTAATATGAGGTTCCCATGTCATCTAATCTATTTTGACACCCAAAAATTTAATTAAATTTATCTGTTCTACCGATTTATGATTCACTCGTAATAAAACATTCATATCACGATTTATAGTTTTTGTTGTGAATACCATAAATAATGTTTTTGATTAACTAATAGTCCACTGAACGAGCATCTATTATGAAAATCATTGTCACAAATGCTTGCTTTGGTAACAGCATTAATTAATTTATTTTCTGAAATTGGAATATTAGTGTCATCAGCATACATGACAATTTTTCGAGAATTGGGAAATGAGTACACCATTTAATTGAAAATGGAACAAGTACCAAGATTAAGCTTTGAGGGACACCAGTATTCACAATTTTTTCTGTTGATCTATTTCCACCTAATACTACAATTTGTTGCCTTTTTCTGAGATAAGTTGCATCCCATTCATTCACGACTCCTCGTACACCAATGCGATACATCTTGTCCAACAAAAACTCATCGAATGCAACAAACACAATGCCCATTGCTTGTGCAATGGTATTGTGTTTGTCGTTAAGAGAGTCGTATATGTCTGTACAAAAATCGCCTATTGCGGTTGATGTTGATTTGTTTTGTCTGAAACCGTTATGAACAATTAAATAATGGGTGGTGGTGATTTAAGAATTTGTTGATACGAATATTATATGCCATTTCAATTATTTTTGCTATTTGACTCTGCAAGCAAACATAAAGGTATTTTGTAACATCATCTTTTGATCCCTCATTTTTGAAAATTGGTTTCGATTTGGAAACCTCAAGAACCGTTACTGATAAAAATAATTACACAAATTATCGTTGGCAATTTATTACCACAATCTATTATGTAATCATATAACGATACTAATTACGTAATTTTTTTTCAGTATAGAAAATGTAAAAGTCACAATAATTTCCAAAGCTTATTGCTATGATGTCATACAGTTATGTCATGTGGAGAAATTGTGGGAAAATTATGAGAAATTGTGGAAAAGTTATTAGTGAATAGGTTATTTTGATATAATCAGAAAATATTTTTATTAATTTACGTTCATACTGAAACATACTAAGAACCCATACTAATATGATGTAATCGCTGGAACAATTGTTTCAGTTTTTTCCTATTTTTTCCTGATAATTGAATGAAAGTGAACATAAATTCAAAAAGACATTTCATACAGAAGGAAAATCATCATCATGTATATTAACAATCGAAACGTCGTGAAGTAACTCGGCTTGAAATCTTTTAATTTTCATTTCTTTCTCATTGGTCAATTGTCAATTGTTGCTTGTATTTTATTTCGTTGTAATTTCATTAAATTTTTATTGCTTAGTATATTTTTTATTTTCAGCTATTCATTTGGATATTTTTTTATTTTTTCATGAAATCAACCAACAAAACAAAGATGAAAGTTATCACAGAACAGCAAAACTGAGTGTTTCCTATCCCAGTAAGGCGAATCTACTACTGCCTATGATGCTATCAGCAGCAAACCGTCAGCGGTCATGGAAATCGTTCTAGACTAACCTCATCGAGACATGTTTCTGAGGCGGAAGGCTGGATGGACTATATAAAAAAATTCTGCTCATCGTTAGTTGCATAAAACAGACTTATGAGGAGCACAGCAAGCTACTACTCAACACTGAATGTCACATCATACTGAGAACGAGACTCAATGCATCCAACTTCATCTATGAGCGAACCTATACATTTCTGATCTTGAGTAGGGATCCACTGAGAAGAGCATATACTAAGAGCAGATAGCTGTTGATTTTCTAATTGATCCGGTTGAAGCTATTGCAGATATAAGATAGATTGACCTCTTTAGGAATCTGCACTTCGAGTGGAAATCTACAGCCAATAAAAATATGTTTGGATAAACAAGTGTCTCTGGAAGTAGTTGACTCTCACCGAACAACGTTCAAGTTGGTAGTTAACTGTAAAGGAGACGTTCTTCAGTAGGAAGACACCACAAATTTTCTCTGATCTAGATTACTGGCAAACCTTCTTGGAACGTTATGAGACTCTTGATTACTTTGAAAGAAAGAGGCTACCAGCTATTTCATCGATCCAATACCTATCATTGTTATCTCTTGATTTTTTCAAATGAACTATATATATGGAGATTCAATCTTTTGCGGCCATCTTCAGAAACTGTTGACACATGTCACGGTTGCGTAAACTATTTAGTAAAAATCTCACAATATCTTGTTATTCGAATTCGCGGAAATTCAATAACAATAGCCAGTTCGAAATTCTCCAAGGATCACTGACAAACGTCCAAAATATTTTTCAGTCGATATTACTCATTACAACGGCATCTCAGATACATCTTGCTGATATTNTAGCATGTAGTATAGAAATAGTTACCTAGTATACATTAATAAGTGGGTAGTTCACGAATCTTTGTAAAACTATGAAAAAAAGGCTATAAATTTCAAAGTAAATATTTAAAATTCGTTTTGCTTTCTGGAGAATTTACTTCTTCATCAAATAGAAAGCGAATTCAATTTTGATAGGAAAGTTCTTCTCTTTTCCAAGGCAGTGAAAGTTATTTATATGACTCACTGACATTGACTTCAAGCAGCCTCATTCAGCCTCATTCAGCAACTCATTCAACAAGTATTGAAGAGTCATTCGCCTTATTTCTTTGTTCAACCCAAATGGTAGATACTATTTGTTAGATTGATTATTTCTTTCAAGAATTTCTACTTTATTTCTGAGTTCTTTGTTTTCCCTTACAAGGAGTTCAAGTCTGTTTCGCAGATATTCGAATTCGAACAGCAATATAGTTTCACTAGCTATAATGGCGTTTCTCAGTTCTTCCTTAATTTCAATTCCTGTAGAATAATCTGGACAGCTGCATCATTCATGATAACAAATCATTTACTATATGTAGATACACCTTTAGCGCGTCTATAAGGACAATTCGTTTCAAGCCTGATGTTTACACTTTTTTAATGTACTTCGCCAATGATTTACACACAGGTTTGTGAAGGGTGTAGGGATTTATCTTTTTTTCAATCCGTTAGAAAATGATTTACCCACCTAGTGTACAGCTTTCCAAAAATTATTTTGAAGCACTTTCACAGATATTTGATGAATATATAGGAACGATTTCATGATACACTAGTACGGTTAAGATGATTACATAAAAATAGTTATTATATGAAAAGCTGATTTTTTGTTATAATAATTTCTCAAAAAGAAAGCACGCAAAATTGCTCCTTTCATTTGAGTATTATGCATACTGTTCAGAAGAAATGAATATTTTTCCACTCCAAAAGGTTGCTGATTTCAAATAATTATCAAACTGGTAATCTAAATAACTAGTTCGTCTCATATTCTTTTTGTTTTCAATTTCCTTAAGAGTAGTTCTGGTAACGCCGACACTGCACTTGCTTCGACGCCATTTTACGATATTAAATTACCATTTCCTCGTACTATTCGCAATATGACAGTGCTCTCTGTTGAATTCTGAAGTTTTGATGTCACTGGAAC